TGAAATTCACAACTTTGGAAGAGGCACTCTTGCTCATAATAACTATGTACTTAGTTAGTTTATTTAATACCCAGGAGCAGAGATGAAGATTTTCAAAGAATTAATGCATTTTCAATATAATAATCAATAGAGCCCCACCCTAACACCAGAAACCCTGACCCTGGGGCCATGAATTTCACAATTTTGGAAGAGGCACTCTTGCTCTTCATAACTATCTACTTAGTTAGTTTATTTAATACCCAGGAGCAGAGAAGAAGATTTTCAAAGAAATAATGCACTTTCACTATATGATCTATATAGCAGCGCCCTAGCACCAGAACCCCTGACCTTGGGGCCATGAAATTCATAATTTTGGAAGAGTCACTCTTGCTCATTATAACTATGTATTTAATTTGTTTAAATAATACCCAGGAGTAGAGAAGAAGATTTTCAAAGAAATAATTCACTTTCACTATAGGATCTATATAGCCCCGCCCTAGCACCAGAACCCCTGACCCTGGGGCCATGAATTTCACAATTTTGGTAGAGGGCTCAATGCTTATTACAATCATGCCAACAGTTTGACTGCTTGATGTCCTGGAGTAAAGAAGAAGATTTTTAAAGATTGCATTATTTTTGTTGGTTTTAGCCCCACCCCTCAGGCCCCAGGGGGGCAGGTACCATGAAATTCACAATTTTTGTTCCCATTCACCCATAGATGCTATATGCCAAATTTGGTTGAAATTGGTTAAGCGGTTTCAGAGAAGAAGCTAAAAATGTTCAAATGTTAACACACGACGCACGACGCACACCGCATGCCGACGGACGAGAACGGATAGCAATAGGTCACCTGGGTGACTCAGGTAACCTAAAAATTCGATTCGTCACTATTCTTTTTAAAAATACACACAAGTATATTTGTTTGTCTTTTATATTATTTTATTATTTTTTTTCATTAAAATAATGTGAAGTTTGTGTTTATATGTACAATTAGGCCTACTTTATTAATTGTTGATTTTCCACGTATACGCCACCTACAACTTAAATTGCGCTCGCATCCCTATTTAAGAAAAATATGTTCGCAACAAAAGTAACCTGTCACTCATCTGTTGTTTTTTTTTTTAAAGTAAGCTGCTAGATTTTGTTTATTAACTAAATGTCTTCAAGGATCGATCAGAACCCGCCAAGAAAGGATTCCTATTAAATGATAAGGGGAAGGCCGGAGTTCATGTACCTCCCCAGATCCTCTCCCGCACCCCTCTTTCCAAAAAAAAACAAAACAAAACAAAACAAAAACAAAAAAAAAACAAAAAAAAAAATGGTAAGCCTTGAGAAGTTTAAACATGTTCTTTGTGTTCTGTATATTTTTGATATATCGTGCTGAGTAGTTCCCAGATGCCATTATAACTGGCTATTCCATGTCTTCGATCGATTGATGAAACGCCCCGCCTACTCTGAATATCAATGAGACACAATTAAAACCCAACTCGGACAAGCGCAACATTCCGGAATTAATACCCACTAGTGGGCATTTTTAATTACCTTTAATAAAACTAAAGCGCTGTTTTCAATGTAAATTTTCGCAAGTAATTTACCACACATATGTCAAAATATGGGTTAGGTGTAAAATAATTAAGTTTTAAGTTAATTAGATGATGTTAGAGGGGTCCGAAAAAGGGGCCACGGCAATATGCTTAAGTGGAAACATTCTTTACAATTTTTGTTCCCCTTCAGCGATAAATTCTATATGCCAAAATTGGTTGAAATGGGTTCAGCAGTTTCAGGGAAGAAGCTGAAAATGATCAAATGTTTATGCACGATGAACAACGAGAGACAAAAAGATATATGCATATCATAGGTCACTTGAGTAACTCAGGTGACCTAAAAATGTCTTTGTTACTATGAGAATTAACGTTACAGCTATTGCAGAAAAAAATTTAAAGCATATTCTGTATTTTTTCTGCAACAGCTGCAACAAAAATTCCAATACTAACAACCAAAGAAATATAAAATACATGCTTACTGTCTTGAAATAAAAGCATTATTTCCAAATATCATTTATACTTCAGGACAGTTATCGAGTACCGTATAACAGGTATTTTCTGCCGTTGTCCAATTTTTGCGGAATTTTGCGGATAGGACAAATCCGCAAAAATTACAATCGCAAAATATTTTTTTCAATATTTATTAAGATATTTTGTACATGCAGTTATGATAAGTGGTGCATATGTCTGACAGGGTTCTCATTAACGCAAGAACCTGCGTACTGGACGCAGCAAAATTATTTGGAACGCAAGGTTTTTAAAACCAATGTGTCCGCAGACTCATAAGTGGCCACGTCCTCGTTATGAGAAAATTCGGGTGTCATCGAAATTCGAAGGTTTTAGATGTCAGGATTTGTCCAAAACATACTGAATCAAAACCTTCCTTTAAATAACATCAATTAAATATGTTGATACAAAAACATCTTTTCTTGTATCTATTTCGCAATTATTAGTCCAAACTCAGATAGCTGCAAACAACACATGGTAGCTTTTCTTTTTTAAACACTTTTTTTCAATCTTGTGTTTTATCCTGAGACCATAATTACTGCTTGTATACACAATGTGGCTCGATTGTCTCGTGAATTTCACCTAATGCATACGATTGACAGGATTAGTTACGCCTCAATGCACATGACACTGTGATTGTTAACCGTCAACTTTAGGGTACTACATTATGCAACTGTTTGTTTTAGCTTAAAATATAAACACCAAATTAATTTTGATGGCAATTAACTAGAAATGTGATTTAGAATATGGCTTGGATGCATTTATTATCTATATATTTAAATATTTTAATAGATGGCATAAAACGTATATAAGAATAAAGATTTTTATTGTTGTTTGGGTGGACTGACACTGTATTAATTCATTTAAATTGGTACTCGAAATATCTTTACAAAAACTAACTAAAAGACAGTAGTTCAATAAAGCTTAATACCAGTTCTCATACACCTTTGATCAATATGTCCTAATGAATTTATTAAAACGTAAACATGACAGCATTCTGATAATTCATGAAGTTTAGTGCATGATCATACCCCTTAAATAAATTTTTGCGGTATAATGCAACCGCAGAAATTGAAAACGCAGAAATTAATTTGCTACCTTTTAGGGGTTAAATCGCAAAAATTTCCAACCGCAGAAAATACCCGTTATATAGTATTTTGTATGTCCTGCAACATTTTTTTTTTTTTACATTTGATCTCCAAAATGACCTAGCTATTTTCAATAAATCTAGTCACATTTTTGCAGTTGGAACAAAAATGCCATTGGATGAACACGCAATATATTTGATGTCACAATGCTTTTAAAGATGTCAGAATGCACGAGGCTATATTTGTGCAATGACCGAATAAAGCTTTGGTTTACTAGGTTACCTTTATTCGGTCAATGCAAGCAGTGGTTACAGGATAAAGCATTCTACTGTTTACATATTATAAAATTATAGTTGAAATTGCTATTATACTATACAAACTTTTTAAAAAGTTAAATACAAGGGTTGTCCCAAAAAGCTGTAGACAGGGAAAACAATTTAGTTTCTTTTTGCTAAATTAAATTTCTTGTCATTGTAAAAAGGAACGTTTTATGATCGTGAATTCCAAGCTTCATGATAATTTCACATTTAATAAGAAATTAATGAAAAAATGAAGAAAGTATATAAGTGTACATCAGCACACGAAAGCCAGCATAATTTACGTCTCATATAACGTCATGTTAATTTTTAAAGTACTGTCCCGTGTGCTTAAAACAAGTCTCTTAAGCATCTTATTAATTTTTTAGACTAGCAAACCACTCCTGACTGAGGGACTTGTTAAAATTCACCACATTTTTTAAAAATCATATTCAAATTTCAGTCCTCGAAAGGTCGCCTTACATTGTAGGAAGCAGAAAATACACACAATTTGACGTCGTTGATTTTGATCCATAACGTTCCTCACCATCTGAATTTAACAAACAGTTCTATACTTCTTACAGACCTAAATATTTTCAGTATGGAAGTGAAAACTGTCCTTCAATCACTTATGTCATTTATCAACAACTTTTTAGTGTGTAATGTCATTTTTATCTCTTTTCGGTCTCGTTTTGACGACATCATTTACATCTAACTCAATTCCAACAATACCTTGAAAATTATGACACAATCCTCCGTCTCTGATCCATTTATGTGAAAATTTGACATATTACTAGAATTTTTTTTGGTTTCACTGCAATAAATTTGAGTTTTATGTTCTACATTTTACCAGAGAAACAAAATAATGCAAATATTTACATTTGCTGTGTTTTTCTACCAAGCCAACTGTGAAATTGATTTGAAAGTCATTTTTGTGTTTACTCACACATAGAAATATACATGGTGAAACTCGGGCTAAAGTGACGTCACAATGAGGCTACAGAGACGTAAATAAAATGTAACGATTCCAGTGAAAGCGGGGGACAATAACAAAAGAAATACATTTACATGTAAAACTGAACATCTAAAAAAAACCATATATCATGCATATTCGTCTTGATCTAACTGTATGTAACATGAATTCTTGCATATAAAAACATTTGTTTTTTGATATTGCTGTAGCTAAAACATTTGCAATTATACCTAACTATTTCTATAACAGACTTTGCATCTTTTGAAGTAGCCAAACCAGTGAACTTGAAAACTATCTCTTCCAATGGCAAAACCTTGACTTCATCATTTTTACTGAACAGAAAACAAAATGCCAGTTCATGTTTAGAGGACTAATTGCCTGGTTTTACAATGGTTATAGATAACAACAACCAATTGGCTGTTTCACTGACCATTTTGTTATGAAAACAGGGTGGCGGATAGTGTTATGCAAATTAAGCAATATAAAGAGAATTTTATATAGTAGCGAAAACGTTCCTAAAAAATTATGTCATTATTGTTAGAATGGCAATGAACTGAATGGCAATAATTCAAGAATTGACTGTATTTCTGACCATCTCTAATCTTTATATTACCCATGGTTCCAACAAGGCTGTTGAACTCGCCAGGCAGAGTTGCATGGCTTTTCAGCTTCTCTGAGCATCCAAAATCTCCCAGTTTTAAACATCCACTAGATGTCAAAAATATGTTGGCACCTAAAATATAAGAATATATTTTGTAATTAATATTCAATGACCAGTCTAGGATACACAGACTTTCAGATAATTCAGTTTCTTTTTAGGAAGAAAAAGATCTATAGAACATTGTAACGTTACGAAAAAAAAACTTCAAGATATCTGAGGATTTGAAATATCCTGCCAGTGGGTAAAATACTTAAAGAGTAAGGGGTTCGAACTTTCAAATCACTTCAACATATCCATGGTATCCGAGATATTAGTGTTCGAGATACCAAAGTTCAACTGTATCATATTTGTTGAGGTGTATGAGCTGTTGCATACAATAAAGCCTGAAACTTCCATTGAAATATCAAATTGTACAATTGCAGACCCAGATGATATAATAAAGAGAAGGAAAGAGGTTTTAGGATTTAATTTCACTTTTACTCATCAAATAATTAATATTTAGGGCATTAATATTTTACCCAACTTGTTGCTCACAATGAGATCAGATAAAATTATTTGATTTTTAGGTCACCTGTGTCACATAGGTGTCTATTGCTACATGTATCCGTTTTTGTCTGTCGTGCATTGTGTGTCATATGTCAATAGTAAACTTTTGAACATTTTGAGCTTCTTCTCACAATCTACTGAACAATTTTTCAATCAAATTTGGTACAGAGTATCTATGGGCAAAATGGGGAAAAACTGTGAATTTCATGGTCCCTGCCCCCTGGGGTCTGAGGGGAAGGGCCAAAACCATCAAAAGTATTGCAATTTTCAGAATTCCTAACTGTTGGCATGATTATAACAAGCAATCCATCCTCTACCAAAATTGTGTAACTCATGGCCCTAGGGTCAGGGGTTCTGGGGGGTAGGATGGGGCTCAATTGACTATATGGTGAAAATGTATTAATTTTTTGAAAATCTTCGCTACCCCTGTATATTTAGCAGACAGTCTATGTGTATGGTTATGATGAGCAAGGGTGCCTCTTCCAAAATTATGAAATTAATGGCCTTTGGATCAGGATTTGGTTTTACTGCAGAGCTCTATTGATTATAAAGTGAAAATGCATTAATAATTTAAAAATCTTCTCTGCTCCTCTATATTTAGCAGACAAACTCATTGTATGGTAACGATGAGCAAGGATGGCTCTTCCAAAATTGTCATATTCATGGCCCCCGGATCAGGGGTTCTGGTGTTAGCTGGTATTAGCTAGGTTGATCTCTATTGATTATAAAGTGAAAATGTATTTATACTTTGAAAATCTATTCTACTCCTGTATATTTAGCAGACAAACTTAGTGTATGGTTATGATGAACAAAGGATGGCTCTTCCAAAGTTGTAAAATTCATGGCCCCTGGATCAGGGGTTCCATTGTTATGGTGGGGGTCTATTGATTTTATAGTGAAAATCTATTAATTCTTCAAAAATCTTCTCTAACCCTGTATATCAAGCAGACAATCTATGTGTTAGGTTATGACGAGCAAGGATGCCTCTTCCAAAATTGTGAAAATAATGGCCCTTTGGTCAGGGAGTGCTGGTGTTAGGATGGGGTTCTATTCATTATATAGTGAAATGCATCAATTCTTCGAAAAAGCTTCCCTGCTTCTGTATATTTAGCAGTCAATCTACATGCATGATTATAAAGTACATGGGTGCCTCTTCTAAAATTGTGATTTCATGGCCCCTGGGTCAGGGGTTCTGTTGTTAAGATGGGGCTCTATTGATTATATATATGTTGGATTGATTTTGTGTTCTTTAACGTCTAATTCGAGAATATTTAACTCGTATAGAGACATCACCATATGCAGTTGAAGGGCTTTAAATTTAGACCTATACTTGGCACGCAAGGGTTTTTTATTGTGCCAACACCTACCTTGAAAGTTGACCTCAGTTTTTAAAGTCTCATCCAAAAGACCCATGAATTTCACTTCTAGTGCTAGGTGCTTGGCAAAGGAACAGTCACTCCCTATGTTTACGTCTTGGGTTTGACACAGTGCAGTGAATGAGAATCCAACCCGGGCCTCCTGATCACAAAACAATGCCCTACCACAAGGCTACCATGACCGGTTTGATTATATAAAAGTGCAGATGCATTAATGCTTTGAAAAATCTTTTTTGCTTCTTGATATTTAGCAGGTAAACTTAGTGCACTGTCATGATGAGCAAGGGTGCTTCTTCCAAAATTGTGAAATTCATGGTCTATGGGTCAGAGGTCTGGTGTTAGGGTGGGGGCTTTATTGATTATATAGTGAAAATGCATTATTTCTTTGAAAAGCTTACAGTATATACTCGCCTATAAGTCGGACCAACTTATAAGCATAAGCCTATAAGTCGGTTGTATTTTTTTAAGCTTAAATTAGAGGGATTGACCCGCTAAAATACCAAAATACCAATCTTTTTATAACTCGTGTATAAGTTGGATAAAGAGTTTTGGACCAAAATTTAACTCCCAAAAATAATGACTTATAGGTGAGTATATATGGTATTCTCTGCTCCTGTGTATTTAGCAAATAAACAAAGTGCATAGATGTGATGAGGGTATCTCTTCCAGAATTGTGAAATTCAAGGCCCTCTGGGTCAGGGGTTCTGGTGTTAGGGACACAATATTTCCACTAATTCTTAATTATCTCCCTTTGAAAGAGGGTGTGGACCTTCATTTGAACAAACTTGAATCCCCTTCACCCAAAGATGCTTTGTGGCAAGTTTGTTTGAAATTTGCCCAGTGGTTCTGAAAAGTGGAGAATGTGAGAAGTTTACAGATGGATAGAAAGCTACACAGACAGATAGCAGACTGACAAACAGACGGATGGATGCAGGACAAAATGTGAACTTTCAGCTCAGGTGAGCTTAAAATATATGCTCCCAAATTTCCATTTGTAAACCCTTGTTGTGCATTGATTTTCCCAATTTTTCAACCTTTTCAATTTCAATCGAACTTGTAACTGGTCATGGTAGCCTCGTGGTAGGGTGCTCGCTTTGTGATCGGGAAGCCCGGGTTCCATTCTCATTCGCCGCACCACATCAAACCTAAGACGTAAACATACATAGTGACTGTTCCTTAGCCAAGCACTCGGCACTAGAAGTGAAAGTCACGGGTCTTTCGGATGAGACCTTAAAAACCAAGGTCCCGTGTCACAGCAGGCATTGGCACGACAAAGAACCCTCACTGCTTAATGGCCTTGAGTGCCAAGCATAGTTCTAAATTTGAAGCCCTTCACCAGCATACGGTGATGTCTCTATATGAGTGAAACATTCTCAAATGGGATGTTAAACAACATACAATCAATAAAACTTGGCAAAAAAAATATTCTTGGATGAATGATATTTCATTTCTTCTGGCCCAGTGATTCTTGAGAAGGTTTTTAAATGATCCCACAATATTTTGCCTTTTCTTGATTATCTCCCCTTTGAAGGGGTCACTGCCCTTCATTTGAACAAATATGAATCCAATTCACCTTAGGATACTTTGTGGCAAGTTTCATTGAAATTGGTCCAGTGGTTCTTAAGAAGTTGAAAATGGGGAAAATTAATGCACGACACACTCCCGCATAACAATGGGCAAATGGGTGAGTTATAATTTTGATGAAAAATATTAATGCTTTCATATATACAAGTTTGTCCCTACTACCCCGCCTACAAGGCCAAAGTTTTTATTTTTTTTGGTTTACGATTTTCTGTCTCAAAAAAATGCATTGGGTGGTCGAAAAATTAAAAAAAAAAATAATTTAGGATTCAACAGTTTCATTTTAAAATACCAGCAATGTTTATTTTAATAAAAATAATACACGTCAATTGTACTTTTAAGTTTTATTGTCTAGATCACATAACTCTTTTTATTTAATTTTGATTTATTTCTAACTTTAGACTGAATGTCATTTTCATTTAGATATAGTTCTGATTTTTGTTTGTCAATCAGTGCATGGTTCATGATGTTCAACTTCTTTTTGTGCTCTTCAGTGATAAGTGATGTGTTATAAACCTCGGTATCCCCACAAACTAAAAATCAGGATCCAAATTTAAGTAAAATTTAGATTGAAGAAAAATACAATTTAATTGTTTAACAATATCAAAAGTAATTGACTGAAATAATGCCTAAAGTCCTTACCATTCACTCACAGATCAATTGAGTAGGTGAAAATAACTTAATAAATCTATATAATTACACAATATCTTCTTTTTTAGAAAAACGGAGGAAATTCGGATTAAAAGTTGGCGATGATTTTACAGTGTTTTTAAACATGTGTTATGACTGTAGCTTTGCTAAATGAGTTAAATAGATGAAAATTACAGACAGTCTGACAATTTTACTTTGTGTTTTTTCAAGATAATTAAAAATAAAAGCATTGTTCACCAATTGGCAAAAAATATTGCCAAATTGGGAAAAACTGAACTCATTTTCAATTGAAAATGGGGCCGTATTTCGGCCCCTGAGAAGGCACTGATAAATCCCTGTTATCTATAGGTATAACCGTGTCTGCTAGGTCGATCAGGGTTGGGCATAAACTCTCCAATATTGCGGTATGAATTTAGCCCATTGAGACATTGCAATTGGAGAAAGGGATCATGCATCCAAGATTTTATTCACTTTTCCATGCAGAAAAAGTTCTTTAAGTGTGTGTCATTGCTTTCAGTGACGAATTACCTTGTTACATGACAGAACCGCCATTTTTGGTTTGCACATGTGTTTATTTACGGTCACCTAAATGTTTGTAAAGGTCTCATATATTTAGGTATCACACCGGTAATTGACCAATCAAAATGAACTTAGTCAATTGTAGTTCCATACATAATAAAGAAATATTTTTTTTATTGTGAGAAATTTTTTTAATTTCCCTTATTCTATTTTTACATTTTTGGTATTTGTGCTTAGGATATTTTATGTACTTTGTAAAATATTAAAGGTTTTTGACAGGAACTATTTCTTTCGGGGCATAGGAGGCCACTTCCTGGGGTGCACACAGGATGTTTATAAACACATTGAATACACGTGGTTTTGAGGGTATTCCTGTTTGCGGATGGAAAAAATCAGAAA